GGCTTTTGGCACTTATTTAGTTACGTATCTGCTCTATTTCAACAGTTCGTTACCATTCTACATCTATGTCGTCACATCGAGAACGTTTAGACAAGAGCTCAAGCATTCCTTTCAACACAATTTGATTGTATTAATGACCATATTAAGAATAACGACAGGAATTGAGAAAATATTTATAGAATGAGGTTCTTGACCTCACTGATCTTCCTTTTTCTAATGGTATCAGCGATCCTCATCCCTCACCAAAAGTTGACTTTCCAAAGAACATTAGCTCGTGAGTGAAATAATACTCTAAATCTTTTTCTAAGGAACTTTGTGTCTATAGTGTGAAATGGAGATATAAAATAGAAAATATATTTTGAAGAAAATCCCATTACTTTTAGCAGGTGCGTTCCATTTACCCCATACAGACACAGTTTTTTCCACTTGTTTCCAGACACAAATTTTCCACTTGTGGGAGATAAGAACGTTTCGGACCCTCTCACAGTAAAACTGCTCCCAATCCTTTTGCTGGTGAAATTTCCGATTAATTTTTGCACCATTTGTTCTTCAGTTAAATGAATAAAAAATGTATAACCTTCAGATTTACATGATGTTTTTGCTGTATGAATTTTATTTAACGATGCCTGTGAAGTATATGATTTTCTTGCGGCGATTGTTGTATGTGCTATGCATTTGATGAAATAGTCTAAAGAAAAAACAGTGACTATTCGAAGAAACTACCATTTTATGCGTCAAACGTAGTTTTATACCTGACTGTATTAGTAACGATTGTATGCTCATTTTCGTCATCACCTTCTATTGATGAAGACATATCTAAGACTGTAGATGGATGCTGACCGGTTTCTCCCGAGGCTACGGATACACTCCCCAGTCCACTTTCTTCTCGCATGTCGCGACGCGAGTCTCTTTAAAAATTTGCGGATCGCGTAACATATGCGCTGTAAGACTTGCGAAATAAGACGCGACTTTTAGCGATCCCTATTTTTCTGTGCTCATACAAAAATCAATGACTCTCAATTATTTTACTATAATTACTATTTATTCGTGTTTTCCGTCTAATATCAGTAAATGAGCCATGATACTTTTACCGCGAACGCAAACGAATGCGCGACGCAACCACGCAAGACTATATTAGTCATGTCGTAAGCTATTATTAAGATGTGATAAGATTTTGAAAATTTTTCGAAAAAATCAGCAAGAGTTATATATCAGGCGCGTAAGCAAAACAAAACGGCGAATAGGATTTGCACGTGAGACGCGCCGTGACAACAGCGACTTCTTAGCGATCGCGGCACAATTTGCTCGATTTTAACACAATCGCGGAGCCAGGACCGCGTTTGCGACGTGAATGAAGCAAGAAAGTGAATTTGGGCTACATATCTTCCTGGTCCAGAGAATATAGATATTTTACATTAATAATCAATGTGGACAGCACTGTCTCAGAAGAGCATAGTTTTAGAAAAAGCACACTTTTAGAAGTGGCACACAAACAGCACATTTTCTAAATTAAAGTATGTTTTTCTGGGACAGTGAGGTGCTGTGTAAGCGATGCTTGTAAAAAAATAATTATTTATCTGATTCTTATAAAGTATTACTACTACTACTTATATTTTCTAAAAACCGCGTTGTTATTAACTGATGTCACAGTATTCTTTTACATACGACTGGCCAGAAAAGTGACAAATCAAATCAATTCTTCACAACTATAAAGTTAGGATGATGAGTGCACAGTTATCTTATGTTAAAGTCATAAATTATTAAATAGGACTGACTAATATGTGATAGTATGCGATGCAAAAGAGTTGAAAACTATGAGTAGACCATAATTCGTTTTTAAATCTTATGACTAATGATAGTGACAAATAGATTAAGCATGAACACTGTTGGAAAAAAACAGAGCGATATAAAAAATTAGCCCAGATTTGTTACTTTAGATATTTTGGTTTTAATGTATCGTTATTTTTGATGACTATTCGTGCATCGTCTTATTTTATCACTACTCCAATCTACTATGTGAATTCCAAGCCACATATTGGTCATTTATATTCAACTTTATTAGCCGATACCATAGCTAGATGGAAAACGATCAGGGGTAAAACGACAGGGCTGTCTTGTTTACTATCTACTTTCCTTCTTTCTATTCTAGGTGTATCAAAAGTGATATTTTCAACCGGTACAGATGAGCATGGTTTAAAAATTGAACGCGCCGCCGCTCAAGCAAATGTGTCGCCATTAGATTTATGTAACAATGTTTCAGGTGGGTTTTCAAATATTTTTCCTACAAAACATGACCTATCCTTTACTTTTTTTAGCTACATTTCGTTCAATGTTTGATAATTTTGCAATATCTTATACGGACTATATTCGCACAACAGAAAGTCGACATCGTAAAACAGTTGAACACGTTTGGAATCAATTAGAGAAGAAGAATTATATTTACAAAGGATTATACGAAGGATGGTATTCTGTACAAGATGAATGTTATCTGGGAGAAGACGAAGTAAGGTTAGTGTTCAGTTCAGTTTATTTTTGCTATATGCATGGCTGTAATAATGAGAGAATCTTAAGAAAATTCTGTAAACGCGATACATCAGAAAAAAATAGAGTATTAAGCAATCTAGAAATAAGAGTAATTGTGCTATCAACATGTCAGTTGAAAACAGAATTTTTGAATTAGAGCTTTCAGAAACGTCAACTTGCATTACAGGGGATTTTAAAAGTTTACTGCTATTTTAACCGCTAGATAACTTGTACAATTCAACTACTATTACAATGTTAGTTATTTTTTAATGAGAAACTAGGGTTAACTGTTACTGCTTGTCTCTCACTGCTTCTCTTACTGCAACATACTGTTTATTTAGATAATGGTCAATGAATCAGGTCAAACAGTATCAAAAGAAAGTGGTCGTTTAGTTGAAAAGACGATGGAATCGAATTATATGTTTAAATTAAGTGAATTAATTGACTCAATTAAAGATTGGTTAGAACATAAGCAGCCTCTTTATCCTCTTAAATATAATAAAATGACATTAGATCTTATTAATCAAAATAAAACATCACACGATATATCGATATCAAGAGACAGTAAACGTTTGTCATGGGGAATTCCAGTAAGAATATAATATTGCTCAATTATACAAATTGTGTCATTTTCTCTCTCCTATTTAGGTACCAAATGATTCCTCACAAGTTATTTATATATGGATTGATGCTCTAATCAATTATTTAACCGTTACTGGTTATCCGGATCATGTTGTACGTTGGCCTCCTGATTGTCAAATAATTGGAAAAGAAATTCTGAGATTTCATGCCATTTATTGGCCGGGACTTTTATTAGTGTTAAACATGGATTTACCGAAGAAACTAATTGTGCATGGACATTGGCTCAAAGACGATACGAAAATGTCAAAAAGTCTAGGTATGCGTAAAATGTTAGCTTTCTCATGCTGGAACTACTCAATATAGTTCCAGCAGACTATGAGCTGATCAGCGGATATGATGAGCTTCTTTTACGACAATTTTGTTTGTAGTACTATTGTGGGTACAAGAAAAGAATGGACGAGATTGTTTTTTGAATAACTGAGGAATGAATGAAGGTAGAGAGTTTAGATCTCCACCATTCAAAAAAGGAGACTTTGGCACATGTTTTTGTAACAGATATTCATTCAGAGCTATTTTTTTAAAGCATGTTTTGTGGAAAATCATGTCATTACTCAAAAACTTTAAATACGACACGTCTGCTTTCTTTTTATTAGTAGATAAACCAGAGTTTGTTTTTCAAAATAGGAGTCAAACGAGATCTTGATTTTCAGCAGTTTAGGCGTAGCATCGGATTTCCTGGGAGTCTCAGGACTGGTATGTAGCGGCTCTTGGTAGCATGGACATCAAATCGAACATAGGCACTCGTCCACGCTAGAATCTCGTGGCAATATTTGTTTGTTGGAAAAAATTTGAAATTCACAAATCTCGAAAAAACTGACTTTACCTGAACTAACCCATTTTAGGCAATTATCGCCTAATATTAAGAAATTCTTAACTACATCAGAACTGACCACAACAACTTGAGAACGTCAGAAGATACAGTGTTTTAGATTAGACACATAAACTTTCGTTATGAAAATCAAGAAAAAATTTCGATTCCAAGGTTCTCTGAAAATTCAGCTGGAAAACTAAAAACTTTTTTTCAAAATTTTTCTAGTTTTCATTTTAAATCATACATAAAGTAGTTCCGATTAATTGTCTCTGACGTTCTCAAGTTGTTGTGGTCAGTTCTGATGTAGTTAAGAATTTCTTAATATATACGTATTTAAAGTTTCTGAGTAATGACATGATTTTCCACAAAACATGCTTTAAAAAAATAGCTCTGAATGAATATCTGTTACAAAAACATGCGCCAAAGTCTCCTTTTTTGAATAGTGAAAATCTGAACTCTACCTCCATTCATTCCTGAGTTATTCAAAAAACAATCTCGTCCATTCTTGTCTTGTACCAACAATAGATCGCCCTATTTTGCTACAGATCTTATCAAGAAAATTTTTTTTACATAAACAATCGGATTCGTGTGGATACTTTTTCACTGAAAGGACGAATAAGACCGACAAATAGTCCTCTCTCTGTTTTTTTTAACGATAGATTTTGAAATAAATAAATTATTTAAATTATTCTCTATCATTCCCCATTGGAGAAGCAAAACAAATGAACGAAAAAGTTTTTCCATACCATGATCTCAGTAGTCTATTGTACTCTTGACCTCAGTATTTCTCTTAAAGGAACAGCTACTCAGGATCTCCTCTATCACTGTTGAATAAAGAGGATAATACTGAACAAAATTACATATAGTTAATAAAATTTAGGATTTTTTCTGCACCTTTACACGAATTTCTCCTGTTCAGTATTATTTTTTAGTAGTACACCTGAATCTTTTAGGTTTTTTTCTCATCTGAATGTGATCTCCTACCAAATCTTTCACAGATCGAAAGATCTTGAAGAACTCTTCAAAATAACTTGTTTGATTTGTCTTAGACGTGGCCAATTTTGTTGTAGCCTGCATACTTTGTTGTTCAAATAGAGAGAGTGTTTATTTGCTTAATCTTTGAGTTTTTCTCAATATGAAAGTATTTCTTAGTAAAAGCAAGATGATATTTGTAATCAGCAATCAATAATCTACTGATTCATGTCAAACATAATTAATACTCACGCTTATAAAAGACTTGAATCGAATGATAGCGTTTTACTATGCGAAAATTACTGGGTGTATCTATCTAAACTTTCAACGATAAACAAAAATGTCACGACCAGCCTCTGGACTATATAGAGATATTATATGTATATAACTGAATATCTGGTTTAGCTGATCAGCATCCTGTGTTTTCGGTAGATAATGTATCTATAGTCGATTCTTAATAGGGGTTTTTTCTTATTACATAGTATTTCTTTAATCATCGTTAAATTTCACTACTTATATCTCTAGGAAATGTTGTTGATCCGTTAGATTTATTATTATTATTTCAATGTGATGGCGTTCGATATTGTTTGCTACGTGAAGATATTTTAACACAAGATGCGAATTTCAATCAGTTAAAAATGACCAAATATCTGAATGCTGAATTAGCAAATACATTTGGTATGATTTTGTGTGTGAAATGGACCAAATATTACGATGTTAAAATGTGCGCTTTTGTATTTTACTATAATTATATCTTTGCTTCAAATGAGATTTACATACTTGCTGCCAAGATTGTATATATTCTTTGAGAATCACCTTAGTTCATTGTCTTTTGGATTTTATCAAGAGACATATATATTTGTAAAATCTTGTTTATTCAGGTAATTTACTCAATCGTGTTACATCAAAATCGATCAATGTTAAACAAATCTATCCAGATGTACCTCAGTCTTATATCGATTATGCGACTAAAGAAAATTCAACAATTCAACAAATATTAGAAGAATCTCATAAATTACCACACATGGTGAATGATTATTATGAAAAAGCTCAATTTTATTTAGGTGCGTTATTAAAATAGAAACATGAGCTTGTTTGCTATGTAGAAGTAGTTACACCACTTAATATACACGAAATACAGAGATATTACAATGAAAAACAGTATACAATATATGAGATTGTGGCATATTTGCAATCAAAACATGTGTGTGTATATTTAACATAATAGAGGCGGAGAAAGATTGTGCATCCTCTATCAACGCATCTCAATGATATGTCACCATGTCACTTTTTAGGTATAATCAAAATAATGGATTTATTACGTTTGTGTAATGCGTACGTTCAAGATGAACAACCATGGGCTTTAGCGAAACAACCGGATCAACTCCGACGTTTAGAATGTATGATTTATGTTACACTCGAATGTTTAAGAATATCGGGAATTCTTCTACAACCTATCATACCATCAATAGCTGAAAATTTACTAACAGTTTTAAACATCAGCAAAAATGAGCGAACGTTTGAACATGCAAAGAGTGTATTTCAAGACTATGGAAATAGACCATTAAATATCAAACAACAAATACAATTGTATAAAAGAATACGCATTGATGACTGAGTGATTATTTTTTTTATACGTACACATTTTCTTTTGAAATAGTAAATAAACTTCTGCAGTTATTAAGTGACATGTTTTGAGTAGTACAATACATGTTCAATAGGATGCCTAGAATCTGATAGAATCAATAGTTATGCATTTAAAATTACTGTTTCTGAGCGTCGCATAGTGATAATTAGATTTTGTGAAATGAAATTGTTATTTGAAGGTTTTGAAATATACTATGTATCATAATTTCATTACTGACGTTTATGCTTGAAACATATGAACACTATACAGTTAGATGATGGTACTCAGATACTGTTATCCTCCACTGTAATAGTGCCGTCCTTTCAAAAGAATTTACACTGGTATCGAAAGATAAGGCTGATAACTCGTCTGTCTAGAAATAAGCCATTAGGATTTGCCTTGAGACAAAACAGATGCATGCGGTCACTTTTCAACCGATTTATGCTATCTTATTTTGAAACGCTTTTCTTTTTTGTAACTCAACTTTTACTCAACTCTGTTAGAAAAGAAAAAATTTTTGTTTAGAACTATCACTTTTTTATTGTCAGAAAAGTAATTATCTAGCTACATGAGTCATATAAAAGAGAATTTCATATCATTTGAAATAAGGATACAATAGTTTGTTGTACCAGACACTTGATAAAATAATATATTTGAAACTACTGCCCGTTCAGGCAAAGAATGGTTCCCGATACTTTTTAAATAACTTTTCAATGAAAAGAACTAGTCCTTTGCGCTTTTCAGCATCCGACAGAGGACAGTTTGGGAAGTAGACCTATGAAAAACTTCAGGCTCCAGCTCAGGTTTACCATCGTAAGCCATTCTAAGGAAAATATCTGAGCCTGCCGTTCGAAAATTCTAGATAGCAAAGTACTGCTCTAAATACATGTGGATATACAACAGATGTCGCTCTACAATCTGCCTTAAGTCATAAGTCTCCATCTACTATGGTAGAGGCTGATGACAATCTCCAGAGGCCTACCTGTCGGCTAAATATGAAGTCTGGAAACCCTAAAAACACATGAAGCATAGGTTTTCGAACATGGGAAATCTAGTAGCAATGTTTGTTTTGTTCTCCAGATTAAACAAACTTCAGAAGATGAATCAAAGATGAATGAGGACTTATGACTTATCTTCATTCACCTTTAAACTAGAATAACTCCTTTTTGATGTGTTTTTCTCAGTTTTTTACTCGTGAAACATGAAAAAACCCGCTAAGTGCGATAAAATCATTTCGTTGAGGGCCTTAGGCCACTTTGACATGTACACAACATTGTCATTATCGTTTTTTGACCAAAAAAAATGACTCTTTTCCTCTGTTTTACTCTATACTCTCCTTAAAAATTTTTTGACATTCCTCTTTTTTCTGAAAGGATGGTTATGCAGCCAGTATATAACTGCTTGAATATTTTTATGAGACAATGAGTTAATAGAAGTGTCTGGTACAACAAACTATTGTATCCTTATCTCAAATGATATGAAATTCTCTTTTATATGACTCATGTAGCTAGATAATTAATTTGAAACGTTCGAATAATATGTGTAGGTATTATGGTATAAATGATATTTACCATACATGCTCAATAAACTGTGACGACAAACCACATACATATACACAACAATATGCACATATGTGCGCCGACCTATATATAATAGAAAGAATATACACTGCACGATAATTCATTTTGGTATTTATAAATAATGATGATTAACATAGAGTTCTAAATTTTCAATAATATTTTATATTAACAATGGGATTAGGTTTAAGTAGTGATCCATCACCTCCAACATTTCCGCTTTATGGTATGGATTTAGTAGTCACTCTATTTCAAATATGTAATATGTATGTATCACGTCCATTATTTAGGCCAGAATCAGTACGATAGTCTTAGTTCCTTTACCATCCATGGACAAACGTATCAGATCATAACCGTAATTGGTCACGGTGGTGAAGCAATTGTTTATCTCTGTACAGATTCGTACGGATATCAATATGCTGTTAAAGTATTTGATTTTTCACATATACCTTATTCAGGTTTAGTAAAACGTGTTGAAAAATTCTCGAAAGAAGGACGAATTCTACAATTACTCGGTATGAGATCAAAATATTTTATTAGAGTAGTTGATTATGACTATGTTCCAAGTGAAAAACGGGCATATCTGGTTATGGAGTTAGGAAGTGGTAGTTTGAGACAATATTTACAAGGAAGACCACTGGAGGAGCCGTATCGAAAAATCTATTGGAGACAAATCGTATCAATTATTAGAACGTTAGAAGAGGCAAATATAGGTAAGTGGAAGGTTAGTGATAATGTTTTTCTTACTAAACTTGCTATTTGATTGGTTTTTTGTTTAGTACATGGTGATATTAAACCAGAAAATTTAATTCTAGTCAATGATACATTGAAAGTAACAGATTTGGGATTGGCATTTCGTTTAGCATCAACAAGAACATCGGTGAAAAGACCCGCTGCAAGAGGAACACTAGGTAAGATAAGTAATTTCATAGTATCATAAAAAAGAATTAAGAATAAGTAAAAAAGTTGATTAATTCTAAATTAATTGTAATAAGTTGTCAGTATCTGTTTGATACAGATAATAGCACACAGAGTGTTACAATCAAAACATTCGACTATTTATACTTTTATCTCAAGTTTTTAATATAACTCACAGACGAACAAATAATGCAGTGACAAATGAAAACAAAACATTAAAAGTAATATCCAATATTGAAACACTAATACTAAATACATAGCATGATGCAATATAACATATTTGTGTATAATTGTATATATTTAAACTGTGATAAAAGACAATAACAGCTAACTAAAGTAAAACGAATTGAAATACATGAACACAATACTGAATAATGAGAGATATTTAAATTCATCAAAATGTGTCGATAAAATGTTAAGATAAATATTTTGTTCGATAAATATAACCATCATAAAATACATATTCAATTTTGATAATGTAAATTTCATATCAATTTTCTTATTGAACAACATATGAACAATACAAATATTGCGTAGTTATGGGGCGAGACATTGTAGAAAATTAAAAAAAAACTATCGATAAAAGATTAATAATATGATTACCAATCAATTGACAATATGACTGATGATTTTATTTTAAATTTATAAATTATAATAGACAAAAATAATTATATATTCATAGACAGCAGTGAATTTCGTATCAAATGACAATGGAAGTATCTTCGATTTGATCCAAAATTCTATTCTTAACTGATCTCATAATTATTCTTACTTCTTAATTCGTCTCAACCAGTCAAGTTATTATCTTATTTTACTCTATTTGTTTTTACTTGTGTTTATATGAAAAAAATATTCGTAATTCGTCTCAATTGATACAAAATAAAAAATGTAGATAATTGATAAATGTGAACAGTTCAGAAAAAAACAACAACGGCTTTGTTGAGCAATATATCCTTGTCATTTCAATATGATGAGAGATCAATGTAAATATTTACAGAAAGTTAGAGACATTGTTGAATTACGTAAAAACATTTTAAAATTCGTTTCCTTTACGTTAACTGAACGCTCTACAAGCTCTAAACTACAATAGTGATTAATATATGAAAAAATGAGAGAAAATAAAAATAATAGTGAATGACGCTGTCATAATCGGTAATGTGAGGTAGTACAAGTTTATTATTTAGTTAGTTGTTCAGAATATGATAATACATAGATATTCCAGATAATTTAATTTATTGAAGATCTGAATAAACGGCTAGGTGAAAGATCTCTTACAGTATCAAAAATTTATAATGAGTTTACTGCTGTTTTCCATTTTTTATTAATTTTTTGTGAATCGTACATTTATCAATTATCTTTTTGTATCAAATGAGATGAATTACGAATATTTTTTTCATATAAACAGAAGTAAGAACAAATGAAGTAAAATAAGATAATCGCTTGACTGGTTGAGACGAATTATGAGATCAGTTAAGAATAGAACTTTGAAACGAATCTAGAGTACACTAAAATGATAACGATACTGTCACTACCGTGACGAGAGAAAAAAGCAGGAGGAGTGTAAATTCTTTTTTGGGTGAAAACCATAGAGATACGAGAAGACAACATCATCTACCATCAGAATTTCAACGGGATAACTAAATGATAATAATAATGTTGACATCAATTTGAGAATTCTTTTGTCATGGAAGAAAAGTGGGAGAAAGGTTTTTGCTCTCAATTATTTTAGGAGACAAAGTGAGAGAAAACATGTTTTCGTTAAATATTGATTAGATGGATTACCAAATCTGAGCAAGAATTCAGACGAAATTCTCGAGAGAAAAGAGATTATTAAAGAAATTTTTTTTCCAAAAGCAGAGGGAGTGTACATCCCTCTTTTGGCCACAGCACTAGACACTGTTTTTTGTCGTTGTGATATAATACTCTTGTTACATAGCTGAGCACTATTAAAAGAAATTTTTCTTTTTCTCACACTAACCGGTAATTTAGTGATGTAATTATTGTAAAATGTTACTGATAGTTTCGGTTGAAAAGTAACCACATGTTTTGTCTCAAGGCAAATCGAAATGGCTTATTTCTGGACAGACGAGTTATCAGTCTTATCTTTCGATATCAGTGTAAATTCTTTTGAAAGGACGGCACTATTACAGTGGAGGATAACAGTACCTAAGTATCGAGCAGAGGTCCATATATTTATAGGCTATATCTTTATGGTCAACGTATTATAGATGTACGCCCCGACCCGACATTTAGGGTGCGTGTATACCTTTTTTCGAGTGGTAAGAACTAAGATGATAGCTTGTTTTATCTCTGTCGGCATAAATTTTGAATTATACATATGATGGATTTGCCGATTTCAATATCCTGAGACGAAATTCTGTACATTTCCTACTAGGAGTCTAGGATTTAGGACTTCCCAATAATTGCCTTGGAGAATTTTAGATACTCTATTAGAATTTCATTTAGATTTGTTTAGGATATTAACAGAATTTTAGCAAATCTTATAACGTTTGGATACTCCTGATTTCATTAGGATTCTATAAAATTTTGTTAGAATATTAAGAACTCGATGCGAAATGGTAGTAGGATTTTGGCAGAAAATTCTTAAGTCTCTTATCAGACATGCTGAGAGTGTTTCCAATTCTATCATGCTACATATGATGGAGTAGAAAAACTTGGAGTTCGTATATCCATTTGTTACTGTTACTCTAATCCCTCTTAAAAAGTCATTTTAATTAAAGCTTCTTTTTCATTTGTCTAGATTACATGGCACCGGAAGTATTAACGAAACGTTATGGTTACAAGGCGGACGTTTATTCAGCTGGATGTATCCTGTATGAAATGACGTACGGAGCACCACCATATTCACTAATTTTTGATCGATTTGAAAAAATAGAAGCACTTCGATATGGTTTTCCCATTCAATACGCACCCATAGCCGAACCGTCATTGATAAATTTAATTCAGCTATGTCTACAATATGATAGCAGACTAAGACCAAATGCCCAGCAACTAAAATATCATTCCTACACAAGAAGATAAAATTTTAAGAAAAATTTACACGAGGTTGGTCCTGATTAATGGAGTAGTTAGTTACATTGTTTTCTATCTACTGACGAAAAACTCAAATTAGTTAATTTAACTTTGCATGGTCTAGAGATATTATCTCCAGAACACTATGTTCTAAGTGAGATAAAAACATCTCTAATGTATTTGTATTTACTTTTAAGTCCCATATAGGAAATCACATTTGTTCGTCTAACATTACTTGCGACTTTCAAAGTAAATTATCAAATAAAGAATAAATGACTACAGACTAGATGTCTTTTAGCATCTTCCATTCAAGAGTTGTTTGATAAACAGGCTCAGTACTGAAAACTTCTAACTTTAAGTTCGTAAGAACCCTAAGAAAAAAATTTCAGTGCGGTACTGGAATTTATTTAATCAATTTAATTAGTTTTTTATTATAGTTGTTTATGCTGAATTTTGTATTAGAATACGGCACTGATCAGCACTACATTGACATGCCAAAACCATGCGGCGTTCCCTCAGCACTTCTCTTATGAGAAGGAAAAGATGAAGTCAGAAAGACATTCGAAATATTAGAAGTAGACTGTGGTGTTAATATAGACAGAAATTGACAAAACAAAATGGAGATTGAAAACAAAACTTCGGCACTGGTGCGCGAACTTTCAATTTCTTGTACGAAAAATCAAATAAATGTAAAATGTGTATTATTTCTTGAGAAGATAACTAAGAGAATAAATCAAATCCAACAGCCACAGATGTATAAAAACCTTAGTATTGTACACTCTATCAAAATTACTATGTTTGTATAATGATGACACGGTTACTAATATTTGTCTTATTAAGGTTTATTTTATGTTTATTCACTTATCAAGGTCATTCAATTGCAATAGAACTGAGTGTTATAGACGACGGTCAGTATTTATTATATGGTGTAAACCATGATAATACAGTACCGTGGCGTAGTGGTCGTTGCATGGTTAATTGAACAAGAGCTTCTTGCAGTTGAATACATAAAGTATCAAACATTTTTTATGATTTGTTTGTTGCAATTACTCCAATATTTATAGTCAGTAATAGATAAAAATTAACGACAAATTGGATTAAAAAGTTACAGACATCTTTTTTTCTATGACAATAATATTGGTACGTTCGAATAATTTATATATGAATGAAGCACAATTGTAACAGAAGACTTAGAACCTATATTCTAGCGTACAATCGTTTTGATTGTGTCTGACTATTTTTTAAATTATTTAATAACGAAAGGTGATTAAATCTTGTGGTTTTCACCATTTGAGAGCCGACATTTAAAAAACATCTTTTTATAATCAAAAAGAATTTGAAAAGAATTCTCGAAAATCGGTTTTCTAAGGCATCACTAGGAACCGTTTCATAACTGAAAAAATTAAGTTAGGAATATATTAGTTGTTTTCATGAGTAAACACAGCATATGACTTTGCCGTTTTTACTATGTTATTTGCTAGTATAATTCGGTCTTGGTACTACTAATACTATGTGTAAAGGACCATTCACTCTTCTTTCGTTGTTCGAATGGTATGTTCTATTTGTGTTTAAAAACGAATAATTTTGAAAAACAAAAATTCATCCTCGATAAATAAAGTACGTAGAGGACTCAAATTAGATGACGACAGAACAAGCTAAAGCCCGCCACCCGGGTCAGAAACCTAACTCAGCCCAGGTAGGTCTAATCTGAACCAAACTTTCAGGGACCATGTCAACGTGTGCTAACGAAATTGTTTATGGCGCCACTTTCAACTCATGTTGATGCTCTCTGAAGTGATTTCTGAATTTGACAGTTATCAACAACAACAAAAAAAAATTATTAGAATTCTGAATGTTTAACCTTAGGTGGAAACAGGCTAGAAATCCTAGTTTCTATAAATCACCGTTTTCAGTAGGTTTTTTTATTTTTTCTTCGACAATAAACGTTACCATCAGATTCAGCGTGGTCCGTCACGTATGTCTCTTGTGCTTTCAAGATTACTCAAATACACTGAGTGCCAGTCCTGGGAAATTCCATGCCCACGTTCGAATCACTGAAAATTGAGGTCGTCCTGAAATCAAGGTGACTCCCATTTTGAAGCGGATACGACACTTTCAAATTCTTTTTGATTATAAAAAGATGTTTTAAAGTGTCGGCTCTCGAATGGTGAAAACCACAACTTTTTATTACCTTTCGTTATTGAGTGATTCAAAAAATAGTCAGGCACATTATATTTTCAAAACAATAGTAGTAGAGATACAATTGACTGTACGTTGAGTTCTAGTGCACAACGTTTTGAAAGCCACATACTACCCAGGTCGACGATCACGCCTAATTCACGGCGTGATCCCGATGTCACGATCGCGATCGCTATGAACTCACACCTGTCACGGCGTGATCACGATAAGCTCACGCTGTCGCGCCGCGATCGCTATAAAGTCACGTTATCACGTCGTGATCTTGGTAAACTCATATTTTTTAGAAAAAATATTTTGTAGGAGTCCAGTCGCGATTTCAAAGTCACGTCGCGATCGCTATACACTCGCGAAGTCACGTCGCGATCGCTATAAAGTCACGTTATCACGTCGTGGTCTTGATAAACTCATATTTTTTAGGAGTCCAGTCGCGATTTCAAAGTCACGTCGCGATCGCTATACACTCGCGATCTAGCGGGAGGGCTCTAAATCTGCATCGATTCGATTCTTAAGATTTCAGTATAGTTTTTTCTTAGTGCGATCACTACCATATCGCTACTTCGCGACGCGACTCATGCCGCAGACAGTAATTGTGACTATTGCAGGACAA